AAAAAAAAAAAAAAAAAAACCCCAAAAATACCCAAGTTCTTTTCCTTGGGCATTGGGCATGGCAACCAGCAAAGGAGGGTCGGAAGAGACAATGACCTGCCTTCCTAATTACAGACCATTCAGCCAAGGCCATGCCCAGAGTAGGACCTGCCAAATGGGCACAGTGGAACACTGGAAGAAACACCTTTGAGCCAGTGCTCCTGGGGACTCTGTGGAAGTGAGCCAGGACCCCAGGGGAGGGCTGTGGGCGGGCCTCACTCCTGACCTTAGAAAGCTAGCTCCGTGTCTCTCCTCCCCACTCACCCTGAGCCCTGGTAGTTCAAGGAGTTCATGGGCTTCTTTCTGTGCTTTGGCTGTCCCAAGCTCATCTCCACTCACAAGATTGTGGTTTTAGGTAAGTTCCTTCACTTTTTCATTTTCTTTCTTTCTTTTTTTTTTAATTTCCTTGTTTAGCAGGCCCTGGCTAGGTTTGAACCCGGTAGCCCTGATGCTCAGGACTGACACTCTAACATTGAGCTACAGGCACCCAGCCCACTTTTTCATTTTCCACACAGGGTGAGCATCATTTTCCCACCCTGAGTATTGTCCTCTTTATTGTGATGGGCTAGTTCTGTTCCCTGCTGGCTTTGTGGTTTGAGTTGACCTTAAAACTTGAGGTGTGGCTCGGTACCTGTGGCTCAAGTGGCTAAGGCGCCAGCCACATACATCTAAGGTGGTGGGTTCGAATCCAGCCAGGCCCACCAAACAACAATGACGGCTGCAATCAAAAATGGCCAGGTGTTGTGGCAGGCAACTGTGGTCCCAGCTACTTGGGAGGCGGAGGCAGGAGACTCGCTTGAGCCCAGGAGTTGAGGTTGCTGTGAGCTGTGATGCTACAGCACTCTACCCAGGGGAATAGCTTGAGGCTCTGTCTCAAAAACAAAAACAAAAAACTTGAGGTGTTACAAATGGAGGGGCATCTAGGTTTTTTTTTGAGATGGAGTCTCACTTTGTTGCCTTTAATAGAGTGCAGTGGTATCATAGCTCACAGCAACCTCAAACTTCTGGGCTGAAGTGATTATTCTCTTGCCTCAGCTTCCTGAGTAGCTGGGACTACAGGCTCCCACCACAACACCCGGCTATTTTTAGAGATGGGGGGGGGTCTCACTCTTGCTCAGGCTGGTCTCGAACCTGTGAGTTCAGGGAATCCGCCCGCCTCAGCCTCCCAGAGTGCTGGGATTACAGACATGAGCCACCATGCCAACCCCTGGGTTTCTTCAGCACAGAGCCTGAGAGACCTTCTCTACAGCTAGCTGCTGGATGTAGTCAGAGAGCCCTGGTAGGGCTGGAGCTTAATCAGGGAGCAGGGCTGGGCTGTCAGAACCAGGCTTGCCAGCTCTGCAGAGGGGAAAGAGGAAGGGTGGGGGCCTGCTCAGTGCTCAGGCTCTGCCCTCTCAGCATGCCCTCCACTCTTGCTCAGGCTGCCTGTGCTGGCATGGATTCTAGCTCCTTTCCTTAGGGCTGACACTCAAACTGCCCCATAGGTGGCCTTTTTTCTCTGTTCTGCCTGCCAGGGCAGCATGGGGCCTCAGGCTCTGAGTGCTCCCAGGGACCCTGAAGTTCTTTACCTGTATGGACAGATGAATTGCCCAAAGGGCTGATTGGTGGTGTGGTACTGAGCCCATCAATCTCATCTCCCGTGCAGTCCCATCCTCCCCCAACACTAGAGCGGGGAGGATTATTCACGGTTCACCAAGCTTACCCAGCAGTGGCTCATCTGTAATCCACAGCTGGGAGAAGGGCAGTCACAGGGACCAGGCCCAGCCTGTCCTTCTGGGAGGGGCCTTCTATGGGGAGTGTCAGGGAGTCAGTGTTCACAGTCCTCTGGGACTTTCTCTGGGCTGTTTTCTCTTAGGTTTCACCTGAAATTAACTGCTCACAGCTGGACAGGAACTGTGTTGATTTGAGGTGTGACTCTGGGAAATCACTGTACCTTACTGCTTGTTTGCCTTCTGGCTAAGAAGTGAGGACGAAGGGCTAATCTAGTCCTCTGAGGCCCCAGACTCAGCAGAGCAATGCTATCTGTGCAGATTTAGAGGGGAGAACCCTTGCTTTTGTCCACCCTCTGATTAAGTAGGTGAATCTTCTCCTGCCAGCTTTGTACCCTCTGGGACTTGGGGAGGGGTGTGGGGCTGGAGCATAGCCTGGGTGCCTCTGCAATTTATCTGCACATTATTTTTCCTATCTGCAGTTTCAGGGTCATGCTGCAGCAGCCTGGCACCTGGCAAGTGACAGGGAACCTGCCAGTGGATTACTGTGAACTAACAGCAAGACAGGCTGGCTTCGGGGGAGCAGTGCTGGCCTGGGCCAGTGATATCAGGGAGAAGGCCTGGACACTCGGCTAACCAGACAGTGTTGGACACAGCACCCACTGAGCAGCAGCTGTTCCCAGCCCCAGAGGACCCTGCAGCAGGCATAGGTGCTTTGTGACCCTGATGCACATCCAGTAGGGGTGGTGGCCACCAGGAGAAAAGGAACCAGCGCCTTGAATGGGAAGCAGAAAGGCAGAACCCACTGCAAGGAGGATCTTGGTCTCTGCTGCAAAGTCTTTTGACACCCTCAGCGCTTCCTGTTTTTCTCTTCTCAGGATTGGAGTCTGGTTACCCTCCTCTGGCAGAGGGGTTGGGCCTTCTAAGCTGGGGATGATTCTTGAAGGGAAAAACCCAGGTCCCCTGAAGCCCACGTGCTCTCTACTGTGATTGGAAGACGAGGATTCCCCACTGCAGGGGACGAGGGGCTGCCTCGGTGTCTGCCCATGAACCACAAGGACCCCAACTGCTCCAGACTGGATTGTTTCAAGCCACCAAAGAGGGCCCCCCCCAGAGCTGGCAGCCAGCAATCCCAAGGGACTAGAGGGCTGGGATGGACTGACCTCCCCCTCACCAGGCCAGCGGGAGAGGCAGAACCTCTGTGGCCTAGCTAGTGACGGAGAGACCCAATGAAGCCCTAAGCAGGGGCCCAAGTGGCTCAGGGACAGGGCGGCCACTCCTGCTGACGTGCTTTCTCCTTACCTTGAAGGAGGGTGTGGGTGAGCGACCCCTGCTGCTGTCCCCTATGCCCACATGCCCCTATGCCCTTTGCACGTAGTGCCAGAATAGGTAGGCTGTGCCGTGTTTGGTCCCTCAGTGGGCTGGGAAAGGAGTGGCCACGGTGACAGCTGCCTGCCTGCCAGCACCATGAAGTGCTCCCTGCGGGTGTGGTTCCTCTCTGTGGCCTTCCTGCTGGTGTTCATCATGTCTCTGCTCTTCACCTACTCGCACCACAGCATGGCCACCCTGCCCTACCTGGACTCGGGGGCCCTGGGTGGCACCCACCGGGTGAAGCTGGTGCCCGGCTATGCTGGCTTGCAGCGCCTCAGCAAGGAAGGGCTTGCCGGCAAGAGCTGTGCCTGCCACCGCTGCATGGGTGATGCGGGCTCCTCTGACTGGTTTGACAGCCACTTTGACAGCAACATCTCCCCTGTCTGGACCCGAGAGAACATGGACCTTCCCCCGGATGTCCAGAGGTGGTGGATGGTGAGAGCTATTGCCCCTTTAGCCTTCCTTGGCTGTCCCCTCTCCAGGGACCTGGCTCCCTGGTTTGGAGTCACTCTTAAAACCCCCTCTTGGAGTAGGGCTGTCTTCTGGCTCCCTGAGTCTTGACAAAGCTTGAGGCCCAGTTGACCAGAGATGTGTATAAGGATCACAGATTACTGGAGAGCACAGCAAGCTTTGGCTTGGAAGGATAGAGAACTAATATTTTCTAGTGCCAATAGGAGCCAGGCATAGGCCAGAAGTGCCTTCTGGACTAGGCAGGTAGCAAGGGAAATGAATGAGAAGGTGTCAAGAAGTGAGGTGCCTGGCCTGGGGGGGCCTGCCTTCATGAAGGAGGCAGCTGGCCCTTGGGCTCCAGGGTGATTGCTGTGCAAGGATGTAGCTCACGCTACTGCATGTGCTGACCTTTTAAGAAAACCCAGAAATCTAGATTTTTTTTTTACTAAATATCCTAATTTGTAAATGTTGGCTCAAAATAATTGCAAACACAAGAGCCACTTGTTTGGTTCTTTGATTGCTGGGCTGGGATGAGAAAGCCTCATATACTGTAGGGCTGGGGATTCTGTGCACAGGTCCTGTCCACCCATCCTCCCAGTAGGTTACCTTTCTTCTAAGTCTTCCACCTAGCCCTGCAGACTTTGCAGCAACACTCACAGGCTCTACAGGCCATCTGGTTGCCATGTGTCATCACAGGTGGGCCCCAGACTGGGGCCCTCTCCAGCTCCCTAAATTCCCTGCTCTGCTCTCAGAGAGCATGACCTCCCGTTTTCTCAGTTCAGAGACAATGTGAGGATGAGCCGATGACCAGGCTTATCAGAACAAAAGCTGCCTTCTGTTTTTTGAGACAGAGCCTCAAGCTGTCCCTCTGGGTAGAGTGCCATGGCATCACAGCTCACAGCAACCTCCAACTCCTGGGCTCAAGCGAGTCTCCTGCCTCTGCCTCCCAAGTTGCTGGGACCACAGGCCCACAACACCTGGCTATTTTTTTTTTAGTTGCAGCTGTCATTGTTGTTTGGCGGGCCCCGGCTGGATTCGAACCTGCCACCTTAGGTGTATGTGGCTGGCGCCTTAGCCACTTGAGCCACAGGTGCTGAGCCGGAAGCTGCCTTCTTTCTCAGAGAACCCAAGGCCAGGGTCTGCAGAGGAGGGGGTCACCAGGAGCCCCTTGGGTCCTTCCAGGACAGACTGGAGCCCCAAAAGGTGCTGCCCATTGCTCAGAGTCATAGCCTTCATTTCATGGAGGAAGTCAAGGTTCAGAGAGTACCCAGGGTTTGCCCAAGGTCATAGTCTCAGTGATGGCCATATTAGGCCAGGACAGGACTCTGGGCAATGGAAAATGCCCAGCAAACAGGCACGGCCTCCTGCTCAGAGGATGGAACTCAGCAGCTAATATACTTCTCTCCTGTTTCCCACAGCCACCCTCTTTTGCCATGAACATGGGAATTCTTGTCTCAGAGCCAAACTCTCTCTCCAGAAAGATCTCCCATCCCTTGAGCAGCTTCTGTTAGCCACACACCATGGAGTTATGGCTCCATCCACAGAATATATATTTATATATATTTTTTGGCTACGGTTGGGTTTGAACCCACCACCCTTGGCATATGGGCCTGGTGCCCTACTCCTTGAGCCACAGGCGCCACCCATCCATCCAGAGAATATTTTAAAGCCCTATTTTTGACATTACCAATTGGTGGCCCATGGGCCAAGTCCAAGTTCACTTGATGTTTTAAAAATATTCCATTAGTGGGTGGCACCTGCAGCTCAAAGGAGGAGGGCGCTGGCCTCATATGCAAAAAAAAAAAAAAAAATTCTATTAATGGCTCAGCACCTGTAGCTCAGTAGTTAGGGCACTGGCCACATGTACCAGGGCTGGTGGGTTTGAACCCTGCCTGGGCCTGCTAAACAACAACAACAACAACAAAAGACAGGCATTACAGCTGGTGTCTGTAGTCCCAGCTACTTGGGAGGCTGAGGTAAGAGAATCACTTAAGCCCAAGAGTTTGAGGTTGTTGTGAGCTGTGACACCATAGCACTCTACCAAGGGCGACATACTGAGACTCTATCCAAAAAAAAAAAAGAAAGAAAATTGCATTAGGTAACATTTAGAAATCAAGATAGTTCAGCTTATTTTGAAAAATTGGAAAATTTGGCCCTTCTAGGTTCATGATCCACACGGCAACAGCCAGCTGAAGTCGCCCCCTTTGGGGGGGGTTTGGGTTTTTTTTTTTTTTTTTTTAGAGACAGTCTCACTTTCTCGCCCTCAGTAGAGTGCCGTGGTGTCACAGCTCACTTTTTTTTTTGGATAAGACAGAATCTCACTCTGTCCCCGGGGGTAGAGTCCCTTGGTGTCCATAGTTCACAGCTCACAGCAACTTCAAACTCTGTTAGAGTGATCCTCGTGCCTCAGCCTCCAAAGTAGATGAGACTGCTGCCACAACTCCCAGCTAGTTTTTCTATTTTTAGAAAATAGGCGAGGTGGGGAGTGTCTTGCTTTTGCTCAGGCTGGTCTCGAACTCCTGGGTTCAAGGGATCCACCCATCTTGGTCTCCCAGAGTGCTGCGATTACAGGCGCGAGCCACCGCGCCCAGTCCAGTTGTCCCTTTTTGATGAAGTTCAGGATCTCCATTTTGCCATGGGCTCCACCCGCCCTCTGCTCCCGGTGTTTGGACCGTAGGCATTTGATTGCCGCACCTGTTCTTGCTGGAGATGGGGAGAACCAGTTTTATTTCAGCTATTCTGACTGCGAAAGTATTTATTTGCCTCTCTGCCCTTTCCCGAGGGCTCAGGGAGCCGCTCCGGGTGTCCAAGTAACGTTGCTTGGAAGCGGCGCTAGTAGCCCCGTCAGGCCGAGTCTCGGGGCGCCCCCTGTAGGCTGCTTGAGAAAGAGCCTTTGAAGGAAGCTGCTGGGCCTCGCAACACCGGTCTGCAGATCCCTGGAGAATGTGCTGCCGGGCACCTTGACCCCGAGCGCCCTTCCAGTGAGTGCTGAGAACAGCTCCATGACTAGCAGGGCTCTGGGTCCCTGAACAGTGGGACTCACACATAACCAGCGAGTTCCCGACTGCCTGATGGAGGAGCCCTGGATAAAGAGGTCCATGTGCGTGGACGCTAGGGGCGAGGGCAGCGGACCGGAGGCCGGAGTCCCTCCTCCACCTGCCTCTTTTTTCCCTCTTACAGATGTTGCAGCCCCAGTTCAAATCACACAACACTAACGAGGTGCTGGAGAAGCTGTTCCAGATAGTACCGGGTGAGAACCCTTACCGTGTCCGCGACCCCCACCAGTGCCGGCGCTGTGCCGTGGTGGGCAACTCGGGCAACCTGCGGGGCTCTGGCTACGGGCAGGATGTGGATGGACACAACTTCATCATGAGGTGAGCCCTGCAGAGCCTGCAGGAGGGGGGCTGGCCTGCTTGGCCTTGTCAGCTGTGGGATGCTGAGCCTTCCGGGACAGGTGGGCTCTCTTTGTCTGTTGGCGATGGCGGGCGGGGCAGAATTCCAAAGCCAAACTTCACTTGAGGCCAACAATCAGTTTCCAAGGCTCTGAATTCCTCTGAAAAAAACAGAAACTTGACTCTTGGCTGGCTGATGTTTGGTGAAAAATCTCAGCCAGTAGACCAAGAGCAAGGGCCCTAAACCAAACTAGCATCTTTCTTAATAGCAACAGGTGATTATTTCTGGCAAACTCACAGAAGACAGAGGCCGTAGGTGCAAAATGGAGCCATTCAGTGCTTGCTCTGGGCTCATTCATCCTAGACATCTGTGCCCAGCAGAGAGGAGAGGGGGATGGCCAGGAGGGCCGGGAGGGTGCTGTGTTCAGACAGGCGACACAGAGCAAGCCTGGGTGTGAAAGGGAGTAATGTGCTGCCCCTGCTCCTGAGCCCAGGTGTTTCTATTTCCTTTATCGACTTGGCTGGGGACAGGAAATCCCACGGTGGGATCCATCCCCTCCTTGGTGAAGGAAGAGCCTAAAGACTAGACATGCTGAAAATGCCCAGTTTTCACACATGGCTCAGGATGAGCATTGCAGAAAGACCAGGTTTCCCAGGAGGCAGAAGGGAGGGCTTTGTCTGAGAAACTGTTGCTGTCTCTATAGCAACACTGAGGAAGCAGCACTATGTCTCTGAGGCTTTCAACATTCCTTGCAAGACCTTCCTCATGTTGGGAAGTGGTGGTAAATAGGGAGAGGAGGATGGACCTGATGCAGGACCCCAGAGCCATCTGAGAATATCTCCATCTTCCATCTGCTGGCTCTTCAAATAGGAGGGAGGTGAGATGGGAGCTGGAAATGGTGACTGATGGTTGGAGGATGAGGCATCTGTCACTCCATCACTCTGTGGCCCTGGGGCACTTAGGGAAACCCAGGAAAATGCTCTCCCTGTGCCTGCCTCCCAGGCCACCTGAAACAAGTGGGAGCTCTCATTAGGCATCGCACTGATGGTTGGGAAGCTCCAGGGTGGAGGTCCAAAAGGTTTGGCTGCTGTGACAGCTGGGTGGTACTCAGCTGGGCAGGCCAGGTGGAAGAAGGAAATTTGTAGATGCTCCCTTGAAGGGGCCAGGCTAGGAGATGCGGTATAATGGGGTAGACCCAGAATTGCTTTCTCCAAGGGGTGACTCAGGTGACAGTCTGTTGGTCTGTACAGGAGCCAGATGGCAGTGGAGGTGACTCTGATTGTATGCATAACTTGGCGTGGAAGAAGTAGGGAGGATTCCCACCCTAGAAACAAGACCCCTTGGGAGAGCTGAGCTGAGTTACAGTGAGATAATAGCCTGATCGTCCAGTTTCCCCTCCCCCCAGTTGCCTCCTCTCCTGCATGTCCTCTGAGCCCTGCTGACTACCCAGATGGAGTTGAGCTATTTCTGTCTCACCTGGCCAGATATATCCACAGCTTCTAGAATGGTGCTTAGGAGACAGTGGGTACCCCATGAACGGATGAATTGAAAAAAGACGACTAGACACCCAGACAGCAACCCTAAACGAGATAGTACATCCTCCCTGCCCCCAAAAGCTGCTTTGGCCCCTGGAGGCAGCCAGGGACAGTCAGATTTCTAGACTATTTTGCTCCTTAGTCCTGGAGATACAGTTCATCTTCTCTGTCCTGCTTTGGCCTCTTTCCAGGGCTTGGCTTCTCTAGAATGAATCAGAGCCTCAAAACAGTCCTGCCCCCACTAAAGTGCCACATCTCCCCTTTCCCTTAGAGGCTATGAAACTCTTTCTGTTCCCTCATTCCCAGATGTTTGGAAGCTGGTGCCTAGCCAACAGTGGGGGCAGTGAAGGGGGCAGGCCCTGCAGCAGGGCTACCTGCTGTGTGGGAGGCAGGGTGATCCTGGCTGACAGGTCCAAGGAGGGATTGGAGGAAGCTCAGGCTGCCAGTTCAGTGGAGAAGGCAGTCTTCAGAAGCCAACCTGGGGTAGCAGCAACCCTTTGAGCTGCAGGACCAGCTCGGTTTCTCCATCTGCTAAGATGAAGTTATTTTCTTAGGTCCTACTTGACCCCAGCTCCTGCCCAGCCCAGGCCCTTGCCAACCTGAGTGACCAACCCAATTATTTCACCTCCTGCTTACCCCTTGCCATATTCCAGGCAGCTGACACCTCACTGTTAAGGCTTCCTCCCTACCTGCTCTGCTCTTTACAGACCCTGGGGGTGACTTGGCAGGGGGCAGATTCAGACTGTAGCTATGGTGACCTTAGGACACCAGTGCCTTTGTGTGGAGCTACAGCAGCAACTCCACAAACTGCTGAGAGTTATTCATGGGTGGGGAAAGATACTTCTTGGTGCCTCAAGGTCTAGGAGATATGTCAACAAACCCTAAAGACAGGCTCGGCACCTGTGGCTCAAGTGGCTAAGGCGCCAGCCATATACACCTGAGCTGGCGGGTTCCAATCCAGCCCAGGCAACAATGACAGCTGCATCCAAAAAATATCTGGGCATCGTGGCAGGCGCCTGTAGTCCCAGCTACTTGGGAGGCAGGGACAGGAGAATCGCTTGAGTGCAGGAGTTGGAGGTTGCTGTGAGCTATGATGCCACAGCACTCTAACTCTACCCAGGGCAGCTTGAGGCTCTGTCTCAAAAAAAAAAAAAAGGACCAAGAGACCAGAAGGGCACTGAAACAGGTAGCAGAGGGGCAGTTCATCAAAAGGTATGGATCTAGTTGCTAGGTCCTGTTATAAGGACAGAGGATTCTGTAAGAAAGATTCTAGGCATATGTGTGGGCCTAGTGCACTCCCACCCCAGTGCATCTTCCAGTCCCTCCAGAAAGGAAAAAACAGAGGTAGGAGACATGGTGTTGGGAGCATCCTGGACAGCAGCCTGCGGCCCTCCCAGCCCCCCTTGCTGGGGGCGGCGGGGAGTGATGGGAGCAAGGAAGCCAACATGGGAGCTTCTGTAGTGCAGGGAGCCCTCACCCAGCCACCTAATGGTCCAGCCACTGCAAGGACAGGGAACATTTGTGCTGGTTTTACAGAAGTGGCACAAAAAGCTAACTACTTCGCTACCTTCCTCCTGGACCTCTGTGTCACCCCACCTTGGTAGTCATGATTCTACCAGGTGGCCTGTGAGACACGAATATCTGCATAATAGTCTGAGCAGAAAAGACAAGACCAACAGGTTTAAAGCAGGTTCATCTCTTATGTGAGATGCTTACCAAAACGGGGAGCTTTGATTTTATTTATCCTGTGTTTTGCACAAGTTGAAAGGAAGTAGAAGCCTTCGTGGCTTGCTATGCCCAGGGAGGTAGAGGCCTATGTTCACTGTCTGGAAACCAGGAGAGATGGCACATTGCATCACCTGAAAGATAGCCAGGGTGGATACCCTTAGAATTCGGGGCATTCTGCTTGGCCTTAGAGTGTTAGGGCAATCAAGGAACAGGGTTCTGTGGGTAGCAGAATAGAGGCTTCCATCCAGCCCAAGGGAATGCCTAGACTTATCTTACTTTCACTGCCAAGCAGAGAGGGCAGAACAGCCAGGTAAGTTGGAAGCTGTGGAAGGCTGTTCTGTTCTTTCTTTACAAAAAATTATAATCTGGGCACAGCGACTCACTCCTATAATCCTAGCAATTTGGAAGGCTGAGGTGAGAGGATTGTCTGAGCCAAAGAGTTCGACACCAGCCTGGGCAACAGAGCAAGACTTCATCTCAAAAGATAAATATTTAAGGCCAGACGCAGTGGCTTGCACCTATAATCCTAGCAATCTGGAAGCTAAGGCAGGTGGATTTTCCTGAGCTCACGGGTTTGAGATCAGCCTGAGCAAGAGTGAGACCCCATCTCTTAAAATAACTGAGCGTTGTGGTAGGTACCTATAATTCTAGCTTACTTGGGAGGCTAAATCAAGAGATTCAGTCCTAGCTACTTTGGGAGGCTCAATCAACACTTGAGCCCAAGAGTTGGAGGTTGCTGTGAGCTATGATGCCATAGCACTCTAATCAAGGGTGACAAAGTGAGAATCTGTCTAATATATATATATATATATATATATATAAAATTTATATATAAATGTATATATAAATATATATATTAAAAATCACCAAAGTAGGCTGGGTGCAGTAGTATACACCCTTAATCCCAGCTACGCAGGATGCTAACATGGGAGGATTACTTGAGTCTAAGAATTTGAGCTTAAGAGTCCAGCCTGGGCAACATGGTGAGACCCTGTCTCTTAGAAAAAATTCATAAAAGTACATACTTGGTATTGAACAAAAAAGGTTATGGTATGGTGGCTCATATCTATCATTCTAAGGCTAAGGATTATTCAAGGGCAGGAATTTGAGACCAGTGTGAACAAGAGGGAGACTCTGTTTACATAAAAAATTGAAAACTTAGGCTGGGCATAGTGGCTCATGCCTGTAATCCTAGCACTCTGGGAGGTCAAGGCAGGTGGATTGCTTAAGCTTGGAAGTTTGAGACCAGCCTGAGCAAGAGTGAGACTTTGTCTCAAAAAAAAAAAAGGAAAAGAAAAAGAAAAGAAACATTAGCTGGATTGGTAACTGTAGTCCCAGCTACTTGGGAGACTAAAGCAGGCGGCTCACTTGAGCCCAGAAGCTTGAGGTTGCTGTGAGCTATGAGTGACAGAGATACTGTCTCAAAAAAAAAATTCAAACGCAAACAGAAATGTATACAATAAAAAAGTTAATCTTTAGGCTTGGAGCCTATGGATCAAGCGGCTAAGGCACCAGCCACATAGACCTGAGCTGGCGGGTTCCAATCCAGCCCGGGCTTGCCAAAAACAATGACAACTACAACCAAAAATAGCCAGGCAGTGTGGCGGGCACCTGTAGTCCCAGCTACTTGGGAGGCTGAGGCAGGAGAATCATTTGAACCCAGGAGTTGGAGTTGTGAGCTGTGATGCCACAGTACTCTACCCAGGGTGACAGCTTGAGACTCTGTCTCAAAAAAAAAAAGTTAATCTCCCCAATCCCATTTCCTGAGAGTAACCATTGTTAACAATTTTAATATTATTCTGGACTTTTTCTATTCGTATACAAAAGTATGTTTTTGTTTCATTTTTCCCCTTTCCTGTGTTGTAATTTCCTCTTGCTGCACATAGTAGGTACTAAAATTTATATATTAAAAGAAGTGGGACACTTAACACTTCTTTTTAATAGAATAGTTTTTTTACTAGCACATGTAAATTTACTTCATTGAATCTGATGTCCACATAGTATTCCATTATATGAATGTGCCAAAGTGTGTTAATCAGTTCTCTCTTGTTTTTTGTTGTTTTGAGGCAGGGTCTTCCCTATTGTCCCTGCTATAGGGCAGTGGCACAGTCTAGCTCACTGCAACCTCACACTCATGGGCTCAAGCAATCCTGTCTTAGTTTCCCAAGTAGCAGGGACTAAAGGTGCATATCATCACACTGAGTTGATTTTTCTATATTTTGTAGAGATTGGGTCTCTTTCTTGTTCAGACTGGTCTAGAACTCCCAGCTGCAAGCAATCCTCCCATCTTTGCCTCCCAAAGTGCCGGGATTATGGGCATGAACCACTGTGCCTGGCCTTCAGTCTACTTTTTATTATCCATTTTTGATAGGTAGCACTAAATTGTCCTCTAAAAATCTTGTACCAGTGTCTTATGTCACCCTCTCCTCCTTGCAGAATGAATCAGGCACCAACTGTGGGCTTTGAGCAGGATGTTGGCAGCCGAACCACCCATCATTTCATGTACCCTGAGAGTGCCAAGAATCTGCCTGCCAATGTCAGCTTTGTGTTGGTGCCCTTCAAGGCCCTGGACTTACTGTGGATTGCCAGTGCCCTATCCACGGGGCAGATCCGATTGTGAGCCTCTTTAACTGGGAGTGAATATGGATGACAGGATCACCTTGGGAGGCAGCTTCCTGGGGACCAGATTGTAGAATTCCTTTAATCGAACATTTTGACCAAGACAGGGCTGGTGAGGTGGGAGGGCCTCAAATGGTGAGTTAGCTGAGGGCACAGTTTGTTCCTTATCACTTCCTGCATGGTGCCATCCAGCCAGAAGTGAGGAAAGGACCATCTGCTTTGGGTCTCCTTTCTGGGATGTGGCTCCTGACTGAGGGAACGCTGCCTTCTGACGACTGTCTTTGAGGATAATTGTCCCATCCCAGCCAGGAACCATGGGAAATCCAATTCACTAAGTATTGCATAACAGCTTTATCAAGATAAAATTTACATGCCACATGACTCACCCACTTAAAGTGTATAATTTGTTGACTTTTAGTATATTCACAGAGTTTTGTAACCATGATCATAATAACTTTTACAATATTTTATGTTTTAAAGATCTTTAAAGTTCTACTGATACCCCATGCATGTGAGCCATCACTCCACTCCACCTGCCCCCAGCTTTGGGAAACCACCAGTCTACTCTCTGTCGCATCATGTATTTTGTTGTGTAGTAAAATTACATAATACAAAAGGGACCATTTTAAATTGAACAGGTCAGCATATTCACATTGTTGTACAACCATCACCACTCTGTCCAGAACATTTTACCCAAATGGAAACTCTGGACACATTACATGCTAACTCCATTCTTCCTTCCCCTCAACCCTTGGTAACCTTATTCTGCTTTCCTACTTGCCTCTGTAAGAGGGATCATTCCATTTTTGTCCTTTTGTGTTAGCTTATTTCTCTTAACATAATGTCTTCAAGATTCATTCAAGTTGTAACTTGTGTCGGAATTTCCCATTTTTTAAGGCTGTTCATCCATTTGTACACCAATGGACATTTAGTTTGTTTTACCTAAACACAAAAGTATAATTTAGTTTACTGACTTTAAGGTGTTCATAGTGTTGTTTTGGGAGACCTGTGCCATAGAGCTGAAGTGCCATAGCTCTGCAGAGAAGGGTGCAGGTTGGCTAATACCAAGTGGAGCTCATGCCAAGACCAAAGGGAACAGAGAGAGGACAGAGGTGAGAACACAGATTTGAGTTTAGATGAACAGTCAACTCAAGTGGAGAGCTCACAGCAGATAGGTGGGGGGAGGTTGCAGCTGGATTATGGAAGGCCCCAGGGCTTATCTAAAACATCCCTGTTTTATCCTAAATGATGTGGGGAGCCAGTGAAGGCTTCTGAGCTAGACCCTGCAGGAGTGAAGTAAAGTGGGAGAACCGGCTAGAAACAGATCAGTCTGGAAGTTGCTAGGACTGAGCAGGGAAGAGAGGCCCCCCTGGGTCCCACAGGTCTATCTGAAGTATTATCTTTCTGTTTACAGCACCTATGCCCCAGTGAAGTCCTTCCTTCGAGTGGACAAAGAAAAGGTAAGCTCCATACATCAGTGGAAACTGTTCACCTGACCCATGTGCCTGGTTCTGTGAGTCAGGTATGCCCCAGTTCCTTTCTAGAACCTTCTCAGTCCCCATCTGGGATGCCTGACCCCAGCAGTGGCCACAGAAACTGGGGAATTTGGACACACAGGTCCATTGGTGGGCATGGAGGAACTGGCAGAAGCTGCTCAGAGCAGGTCATAGTGGATCACACCTGTAATCTTAATACTCTGGAAGGCCGGGCAGGTGGATCGCTTGAGCTCAGGAGTTTGAGACCAGCCTGAGCAAGATTGAGACCCCACCTCTAAAAATAGCTGAGCATTGTGGTGGATGGATATAGTCCCACCTACGTGGGAGGCCTGAGCCCAAGAGTTTGAGGTTTCTGTAAGCTATGATGCTGTGGATTGCCAGTGCCCTATGCCAGGGCAGATCCGATTGTGAGCCTCTTTGTTAACTGGGAGTGAATATGGATGACAGGATCACCTTGGGAGGCAGCTTCCTGGGACCAGATTGTAGAATTCCTTTAATCGAACATTTTGACTAAGAGGGGTTGGTGAGGTGGAAGGGCCTCAAATGGTGAGTTAGCTGAGAAAGACAGATCGTCTCCAAAAAAAGAAAAAAAGAAAAGAAAAAAGCTGCTCAGAGGCTTTCCTGAATCTCTGGGCCACCAAACCCCTCATGTGCCTGTTACCTCTTCCCTCCCAGGTCCAGATTTATAACCCAGCTTTCTTCAAGTACATCCATGACAGGTGGACTGAACATCACGGGCGGTACCCCTCCACAGGGATGCTGGTTCTCTTCTTTGCCCTGCATGTGTGTGATGAGGTGGGTAGGCCCCAGCCACGGGTAGTGGGAACAATGGGCTGGAACAGAGGGAATGCAGCCCTTCTTAGATCTTAGCAGTGCTTCCAGAGGAATGTTTTATAGATAGAAACCTGTGGCTTTGATTTCCCCCATCTCGAAGCTGCAAAGCATAGATCTACATTTCCCAAACTGTCACTTTCAAGATTTTACCAAATCTGAAATCAATTCATTAAAAAGTTAAATTAGGGCAGTGCCTGTGGCTCACTGGGTAAGGCACTGACCCCATATATCGAGGGTGGCAGGTTCAAACCCAGCCCCAGCCAAACTGCAACAACAACAAGTTAAATTTCTAGTCAGGCGTTGTTGTGGGTGCCTGTAGTCCCCACTACTTGGCAAGCTGAGGCAGGAGGATTGCTTGTACCACAAAGTTTGAGCTATGATGCCAAGGCAGTCTAGCTGGGGCAATCGAGTGAGACTTTGTCTCAAAAGCGAACAAAAAATGTCAAATTACTGAAAAAGGAAATAGGTAATATCATCTATGATAGTATTCTATCAGAAAGAAAAAGTAAGTATAACCATAAATAGAATGGAAAGAGTGATTACATTTCAGCTAGATGGCTGTCCCCCACAGCTGTGAGCTTTAGACATACTCTGTGTTAAAAATGTAAGTATTCGGACCCTGTGGCTCAAGCTGCTAAGGTGCCAGCCACATACACCTGAGCTGGTGGGTTTGAATCCAGCCCAGGTCTGCCAAACAACAATGAAGCTGCAACCAAAAAAAAATAGCTGGGCGTTGTGGCAGGTGCCTGTAGTCCCAGCTACTTGGGATGCAGAGGCAGGAGAATTGCTTGAGCCCAGGAGTTGGGGGTTGCTGTGAGCTGTGATGCCACAGCACTCTACCCAGGGCAACAGATTGAGGCTCTGTCTCAAAAAAAAAAAAAAAAATTGCAGGTTAATGCTGGGTGGGTGTAGTGACTCACTCACGTCTGTAATCAATCCTAGCACTTTGAGAGGCCGAGGAGGGTGGATTGCTTAAGGTCAGGAGTTAGAGACCGGCCTGAACAAGAGAGATACCTCCTCTCTAAAAATAGCCGGGTGTTGTGCAAGGTACCTGTAGTCCCAACTACTTGGGAGGCTGAGGCAAGAGAATCGCTTGAGTCCAAGAGTTGGAGGTTGCTGTGAGCTGTGATGCTACGGCACTCTATCCAGGGTGACAAAGTGAGACTCTGTCTCAAAAAAGAAAATAAATAAAAATGCAAGTTAATCATCAAAGCACCCTATTTCACTAGCAGCAGGGGCTATTGTGCCACAAGGGCACACCCCACCTTTCCCAGTAAGTTGGGCACTGTATAGTACTGGGTACTTGATCAGCTTTCAAATAAAAGTACTCCATTTAAAAAAAACCCCGGAAGTTAGCAAGGGCCGGAAAGGAGACCTGGAAAGAGAAGTCTCTCCCCATGTGAGTCAGTGTCCTTGCGCCAGGCTTGGGTGTCCCCCTGTCTCTCCCTGGTACCTCCCGTACTCCGCGAGTGGAGCCAGTCAGCCTCACAGGAGGTTGTCTGTCGCTAAGGCCCCTTCTCCTCCACCACGACCGGAGGCCGTCCCTTGCCCTGTCCTCCATGGTCGCATGGTGAGCTGACCCTAACCACCCTTCCTTGCAGGTGAACGTGTATGGGTTCGGGGCCGACAGCCGGGGCAACTGGCACCACTACTGGGAGAATAACCGGTACGCGGGCGAGTTCCGGAAGACGGGCGTGCATGACGCAGACTTCGAGGCACACATCATTGACATGCTGGCCAAGGCCAGCAAGATCGAAGTCTATCGAGGCAACTGAGCCCGCCATTGCCGACCCTCCCAGCCCTAGCTCGGGTGTGTGCTCCGGCCCGGAACTCGGAGCCAGCCCCAGGGCGGTGGCCTGGTGAGCGGGCCCCGCCCCGGGCGTCGCCAGGCAATCGGGAGCGATGCCAGAGCGGGGTCTGGACCAATCATGCTGCAGCCCAGCGGGCGCCTGCCGACCCCTGCCAATCATGAATTTTGGGGCCTGGCACCAATCAGCGCTACAGTTGGGTGAAGCTTGTTTCTCCTAGCCAATCATGCGACTCAAAGAGAACTTCGGCACTCGGCCCGTCCCCTCCAATCAATGGCCTCTGGGGGCAGGCCTACGGCCGCTCAATCTCTACGCTCCTGTGCTTTCGGTTGGTTTTCTTGTGGTCTAAGCAAAGAGGTAGCCTTGGCCTTGGTGGTACTTCCCCTGGGTTCACAGCCGGGAGTATCGTAGTTACTGGCCGGCCGGAGGCCTGACTCCGGTGGGGCGGTGTCCCGTGGGGCCTCGGCTGGGCTTGCTGCAGGTGGAGGAGTGGCCGGGGGGTCCTGGGGGTGCTTTTCCCCCCCCCCCCGAGAGCAAAGTGGCGGTTTCCGCGATCGCTCAGGCCTCCGCAGGGCCCCAGGCGCCGCGTTTCCTTTGTCCTTTGGTCCCAGAGGGTGAGTGCAAACCCACCAAAGAAACGCGGTCGCTGAGGGGCCCCACGGGCCCCTCACCCCGGCCCCCGCTTGGAACCACCTCTGATCTGACCCCAGCGCTTCGTGTCTCGCCCTTGCTAGGGGTGGCATTTGCGTAGGGCCCTACCCCGGAACATAGGTGTAAGGAACAGGGCAGGGGACAAGGAAGCCCTGTCACATCCAATGTAAGGTGCTTCTTACTCACGTGTGCCCTCGGCCCCTTCTGTTCACCCACAACCTTTTTAGCGTCTCTCCTTTAGGCCCTGGGCCTCACCAGCCTCCTTGTTGCTCTGGAAAAAAAAAAAATCAGAAAACTTGCCCTGGGATGGGGCCCTGCTGCTTTCTCTCTCTCTGTTTCTCTCCCTCATCTTTGGCTGGCTTAGGGAGGGAGAGCAGCACTATGGATAGAAGGCCAGAGGTGGGGAGCCCAGCTGCTCGCTGCATGCCCCTCCCTCCTCTTCACCCCACAGAGTGATGCTTGCTTAGGGGTGATTGTGCTTCGGGCTCAATAATTTAGTTAACGTGAAGCTACCAGGTATGGCTGACCAACAAAGATTCTTTTAAAATTCTGAGCTGGCTGTGCCAGTAGCCAGGAGCCTTGTGGGAGTAGATTGCCCACTGCATGCCTCCTGCCACAGGCCCCCCTGCTCACCTCCTGCCTCCTCCCTCCAAACCCAGAAGGGCTGGGACACTGACCATCAGGGGTTCCAGCTGGAAGCTGCTGGCACAACAGAACCCAGCTTAGGTCCCCAGAGGGAGCTGCTCACCCTTCAAGGTTGGGGAAATTTAGGAGGGAGAAAGGGCTTCTGTGAAGCTCTCAAATCAACCATTAAAAGGATCCCCTTTCCCACCAGTGATGACACACACGCCCCCCTTTTTCTCAGTTGACACCACTAAGCAGCCTTTTGGCCATTGGTATAGTTCCTACAGCTGGCTGGGGGAACAGTGACAAGCAGGGGACTTTGTTACGGAAGGGTTGGGATAGCCAGTGGGCAATGAGAAGAATTAATATATTGAGAACTTACATCTTGTCTGTTGCTTCCCACTTCCAAGCTTAGGAGGAGTAAAGAAAAAGGGTGGATGGGGGATTTTGCAGACTGCCTCTCAGGGCTTCCCCCTCAGTCCCAGACAATAAAGGCACCAGACATTCTTGTCAGTCTCAGCTCAGTTCAGCGCTTCCAGAAGAGGCTGTTTTGAGTGTTTTGAAAATGAAAAACAATGCAATTATGCCAAACAGTATTGAGCAGAGTAATTTATTTCTTTTTTGTTTCTTTTTCTACTTTTGTTTAAACCATTAATCCCATTCTGGAAGATGTAGGTCCCAGCATCCAACCCAGATCTTCTCTGCAATAGTTATTTAAAGTTTTTAATTTCCTTCCCTCTCTCTTTTTGAATTAAAAAGAACAACAAAACCATACAGTCCTTGACCTGTTCTGAAATGTGCATGATCATGGGAAGAAGGCAGATCTGAGAATGGGGATATGGGAGGGAGGCGAGATGATTCCTAGACACCCCTGCCGTTTAAACATCCACAGTCCGTAAGACACATCTGACAGATGTGAACATTTTGGTTAAAAAATACATTGTCTCTGCTGGGTGCCTGTAGCACAGTGGTTAAAGTGCCAGCCACATACACCAAAGGTGGCAGGTTCGAGCCCAGCTCTGGGCCAGCTAAACAGCAATGACAACTACAAACAAAACATAGCCGGGTGTTGTGGCAGGTACCTGTAGTCTCAGTTACCAGGAAGGCTGAGGCAAGAGAATCACTTGAGCCCAGGAATTTGAAGTTGCTGTGAGCTGTTACGCCAGAGCACTCTACAAAGGGTGACATAGTGAGACTATTGTCTCAGAGTCTCAAAAAGAAAAAAAAAATACATTGTTTCATCTTTAGTTTTCCCCCCCAAAGAGGAATGCATTAAAATTCCTGGCAGCAACTCCCCACAGGGGAGTTGTTTAAACCCCTCTGTAAACACAGGGTCTCAGGTCTTGTCAGAGGCTCTGATGGCCCACAGGCTGGGCCATCCCCACTCCCCTGGGGACAAGTTCACCTGGGCCAGGTTTTCCCCAATTTGGCACATCCTGCTGTCACTCCACAGCCTCCTACAACATGGACCCAACATCTCAACTGTGGGTGCTACATAGGATAGGATAGTGGCTTCTGAGAGAGCTGCTGGAGGCAAAGTTCCTCCACTGCTGGCTTCTCTGCTTACCTGTGCACCTTTTCCCTGCCACCCTCCGTGAGCTGTGCTCCAGTGACATATGCTTCATTACTCACATGGTAAGCTGACATTCTGCTACTGCCAGAAGCCAGCAGTGGAGAGCACTGGGCATATGGGACGTAAGCCCTCAGGGATTGTGGAGAAGACGCAACCCCAGGACACAATGTTCTGAAGCCAACTGGAAGGGATGTTAACAAGGCTGGGAGCTGGCTGTCCCTGGTCTCCCTTTCTACTAGTGGAAGGGAGGTTAGGTCTGGCTTTTCAGGTTTTTTTTTTTTTTTTGCAGTTTTTGGCCGGGGCTGGGTTTGAACCTGCCACCTCCAGCATATGGGGCCAGCGTCCTACTCCTTTGAGCCACAAGCACTGCCCCTGGCTTTTCAGTTTTTAATGGAAATGGAAGATGAACATGGGGGTTGTCCTCAAGCTGTTCCTGCAGCAGGACACATGGCTTAGGATACCAAGCTTTTTTTTTTTTTTTTTTTGAGACAGTCTTACTCTGTTGTCCTGGGTTGAGTGCCATGGCATCAGCCTAGCTCACACCAACCTCAAATTCCTGGGCTCAAGCAATCCTCCTGCCTCAGCCTCCCCAGTATCTGCAACTACAAGCACCCACCACAACCCCTGGCTTATTTTATTTTTAGTAGAGACAGGATCTCACTCTTGCTCAGGCTAGTCTGAACTCCTGAGCTCAATCTACCCACCTGGTCCTTCCAGAGTGCTGGGATTACAGGCATGAGCCACTGTACTTGGCCAATTTCTTGATCTTTTAAAAAGTGAAACATATTCTTTTTTTCTCTTTGAACATCCCAACATACTTAAAAGTCTTTATCAGGCATTCCATAAAATTATTTATTTTTTGAGACAGAGCCTCAAGCTATCCCCCTGGGTAGAGTGCTATAGCATCACAGCTCACAGCAACCTCCAACTCCTGGGCTCAAGCGAGTCTCCTGCCTCAGCCTCCCAAGTAGCTGGGACCACAGGCGCCCGCCACAATGCCCAGCTATTTTTTGGTTGCAGCCATCATTATTGTTTTGGTGGGCCCGGGCTGGATTTGAACCCGCCACCTTAGGTGTATGTGGCTGGCACCTTAGCCACTTGAGCCACAGGCACCAAGCCTATTTTTTTTTTTTTTTTTTTTTTTGCAGTTTTTGGCTAGGGCTGGGTTTGAACCCACCACCTCTGGTATGTGGGGCTGTCACCCTAACTCCTTTGAGCCACAGGCACCATCCATAAAATTTTTATCTTGGGGGAATTTTTGATGTTGTTGGCAGGAATTTTTGATGTTGTTGGCTTTATTAGCATTAAAGTTGGAATTCTGGGGCGGTACCTGTGGCTCAAAGAGTGGGGTGCTGGCCCCATATGCCAGAGGTGGTGGGTTCAAACCCATCCCTGGCCAAAAAAAAAAAAGTTGGAATTCTGATTTTCAGGTTCATGTTAAAGGTTTTTTCTTCCTAATTTTCTCTCCCCACAATGCTAGTTGGCTTGCTCACAGCACCTGGCTCCATCCAACTCTCCACCCCCAGGGGCTGTTATTCTAGAACAAGATCAGCTGACCTTATCAGAGATTGTGGGGTTCCTACCCAGCAGAGATTTGGGGTTATCACAGAACCAGCTGGGCAGTCAATAGTGTCACTTACCTGTTACAAGGTGGGCTCCAAGTTGTCCTATCCCTGTTCTGGGCCTGCGCCTTTAACACACCTGAAGTCCAACCACGCAGGGGAGGTCACAGCAGGCTCAGTCAGAGTGCAGAGTCCCCTCGATGCCACAGGATCTAAGTTCAGGCTAGTCTCTTGTCTGGACTGCAGCCCAACGAGCTTTCCGCCTCAGCTCTCCTCACCACTTTGTATTTTCGCTCCATTGCTAGCCCATGAAAATATTTATCTTGTTTTTGAGTCAAATGGTGTTTTCTGTTCTCCACTTTTCCATTTTCTCTCTTGTTGTTTGGGTCAGAGTGGTGTCAACGACTGAACCCTTTAACTAACTATGGCTCTGACTCTGCCTGGCCTCCTCTCTTCCTCCTTCTCCATGCCCAGCCTGCTCCCTTCACAGCACCCACCTCAACTTGTCCCTTTGCATCTTGCTATAACCCCTTCCACTCACCCCAGCCATGGTGCCCAAGCCCTCCCACCCTTGCAGTCTCTCCAGCACCACCTTCTCCACACTCAGTCTTGCACCTGCTCTTAAAACACACCCACTCATCTTACCCGTTGCCTTGGTGGCCATGACTCTGGCTCAGGCTCACACAGTTCTGCCACATGCTCACCCTCTGTAAGACCAGAATTGCTCACAGCCAAAGGAGAGCAAAATTACAACTTAAAAAAAAAAAAATCTGTAAGAACTTATCAAATTACTGCCCCAAGAAGTGCCTCTACAGAAAGCATGCATAAATGTTTTTATAGTACTAGAATGAGGAAAGCTTTTCTAGCCCTGACATGAAATCCAGATTTCTTTTTTTTTTTTT